TTTTTCGAAGCTGTCCGCGTCATTTTCTATCACTGTAAGCTAACTAGGCCCGAAGCCTAAAAGCAACTGAGCGTATAACTGGTAAGAATCGTGTATTCTCCAGAATACTTTGGTGAGGTAAACACACTTGGCGGCATTCTGTCTGTAGTTTCATCATCACTGCGCCTACAGGGGAGCATTTGTGGCTTGCGCTGCACCAATCATAACTCTATCAGCAAACACCGTATGCTGCGTAAACCCGAAATAATAAGACCGCGAGACATGAGGCTGGAAGCCAGGCTTCATTATCGGAGGCAGCCCACACTCCTTTAAAGACAAAAACCAGCGTGCTGTATATGGAAATGAATCGCACACAAGATGGGGGGTGGAACATGGCCTGCTTTAAATTGATTGCATTAAACCACTCTTCGGGCTCATCACGGTCACAAGGACCATGTCAGCATGTATACCAAGCGCAGCCACACCGGGATGACCAACAAACGACTAATCACTTGAGACGACGATGACAAGTAAACTTACTCTTTAGTTGCATACTGTTATGGTGACGTACAAGCGTAGTACTCGGCAGCATCTAACGGGCATATGTACGTCCAACCCGTTGTGGGTAATGAAAACGCGCACACTCGAAAGCCACGCGTGGATTCTCAAAGCCGAGGTTCCACGTCAATATCACCAACTTTAAATGAACACGTGAGTTTTGGGTACACATATTTACATGGTTTCGGGCCGTTGGCACTATAGTAGATTTCAATAACTTGTATACAATTTCCGTTTAATTGGCGACTAGTTATAAAGTCAATCGCCAACATGAACATTGGGTCTCTTCACAGTCTCTGGAACTTATAGATGCTCGCCAGCATATTCCGGCTGGAAGCGAACACAATGAAACTCGCAAAGAGCTCCGGGCGAAACTCCGTGCTATCCTGAAAAGAGACCGCGAATCCTGGTGGTCTCGTCGTGCAACAGAGATGGAAATGGCCTCTGGCCTTGGTAACCATCGTGAGTTATTCCGTCTGATACGGGAAACGGGCAGCAGGAGACTTGGTGTTAGTGAAACTATACGTAACGAGAGTGGACAGCCTATCCACAACTTATCAAAACGCCTGGAACGTTGGGCTGAGGACTTGAAAAGGCAATTTAATCGGTCGAAATTGTTAGATTTCTCGTCGACCAGTGATCGCCCTGCTCCGTGGGCTGTTCTTTTGGATCCACCCTCTCACTCAGAAGTCGAACATGAGATCAAACTGTTGAAGTTAAATAAAGCCGCGGGACCTGATGACCTTCCTCCAGCCCTCTTGAAATTCGGGGGACCTGCTCTTGTGGATGATTTACACGAGTTACTAGTCGAAATGTGGGAGCAGGAAACTGTCCCAACCGATTGGAGCCCCTCCGATATAGTCCCAATTTTCAAAGGAGGCTCACGATCGGAATGCGGCAGCCATAGAGGAATCAGTCTGATCTCCATCGCCTCCAAATTGCTTGCCTCTGTCATTCTTCACAGACTGACTGGCACTCGTGAAAGCCAGATTCGCGAAGAGCAAGCTGGATTTCGTCGGGGTCGTAGCTGCATTGACCACATCTTCACCTTGCGTCAGTTGTTGGAGCACCGTCACACATAACGGCAGCCCACCGTTTTCGTGTTCCTCGATATCAAAGGTGCATTCGATTCGGTGGATAGACATGCACTTTGGGACTGTCTACTCAGGAAAAGTGTACCTGAGAAATATGTGAATATTATCCGAGCATTATATGCGCGTAGCTCGGGCAGAGTAAGGGCTTACGGCAAGTTGTCGTCGCCCTTTAATATCTGCAGCGGCGTGAGACAAGGATGCCCGCTGTCACCTTTCCTCTTCAAATTCGCTGTTGACGAAGTCATGGAAATCGCGTTCACAGGACACGACTTAGTAGGCGTGGAGCTACTCAAGTTGAACGACTTCTTGATTTAGAGTATGCTGACGATATTGCCCTGATCTGTGACAGCTCACAAACGTGCCAAGCGGCACTGGATAGATTAGCACTAGCTGTCCGTCACTGCGAGCTTTGCTTCGCACCCTGGAAGTGCAAAGCGTTTCGCCAAGATTGGTCTGGACCGCCCCCTACGCTGACCCTTGTTGGGGATCAGCTAGAAGTCGTTCAAAAATTCAACTACCTGGGAAGTTGTATCAGCGCCCGTGGGATTGAAGATTAAATCACGAATCGTATAGCAAAAGCTCGGGGCGCTTTTGCAAACCTTCGCCACTTATGGCGCGGGCGCGACCTCACTCTCTCCCTGAAGGGTAGAGTGTACAATGCAGCAGTACGTTCGACCCTACTGTACGGTTGTGAAACCTGGTCGCTTAAAGCAGCGGACCTGAAGAGACTAGTTACATTCGACCACCGGTGCCTACGTAATTTAGCGCACATTTGGTGGGAACACCGCGTGAGCAACGAGCGTGTTCGACGCCTTGTTTATGGCACAGGAAAAGGAAATGAACCGCTCAGCACCGTTATTTCACGCATTAGGCTCCGATGGCTCGGCCACGTGTTACGCATGTCAGCCCACCGACTTCCGCGAAGTGTGTTGTTTGCGCGCCGGGGGTGTGGATGGAAGAAGAGGAGGGGTGGCTAAGCGATGACTTTGTCCAGAGGAATGAAGACCCTCACTTCTGAGCTGGCCTCGGTTGGAGCGTCTCGGCTCCCTGGTTGGGGTCTGAAAGACGATGAACAATTTTGGTTGGACACACTTGCTGATATGGCTAGGAGCCGACCTCAGTGGCGTTCGTGCTGTGAGTTTCTTTGTCCCACCCCATCCCTCTTAGCCTTCCCCTCCAACCACGATCTCATTACTTAGCCTTATATAATTTTGCACATTAATTTTTTTGGGTGCACAGCAGCCGGCTGGTAGCTTACCGGAACGATGCCCATCCGTTACCGTTAGCTCAGCCAGCTTGCACCAGTTGCTTTTTTTCGCCTTTTTATCTATATATTGCGGCACAGTAGCTGAGGTGTTCCCCACTTCTAGCTAACGTGTATGATGATGACGATGATGAGTTATATAGTTAGAAGACTCTGAAAGAAAAGAAAACATTAATATTGTACAGGCAAATTTGATATATACAATTGGGATAGATGTATGCGCTCGTATGAAGGCTTGAGTCCAAGTCTTCTTGTGGGGCGGTTACAAGTTTGGAATTCGGGCCTTATGCAGATAACTCGAAGCGTGGGCGTCTGTTATCCGGCCATTCCAGTTCTGTTGTGTGCGTCTTGACGCAACATAGGTATTAAATAGAGTTCGCGATAAAAGCGCGTTCACCATCGCCCATGACTTTACGTGGTTGGACGCGGGCTTGGTAATGTATAGAGGTCAAAATGAAGTTTTGACGTCGACATGGATCAAGCGGTGTATATCACGTGGTATGTGGTTAGGCTCTGTCATGTGGGCTAAAATACAGTTTCACAAATAGTTTTTAGAAAGCTGTCAATCCACCTAACAATGTCCACGCGTATATATATGGACCAGCCTTCACCAGCACTCAATTTTGTGGAGCTGTATTTTAGCCTACGTTACCTAGCCAAATGAAGCACTACCGCCATACGGCATACGCTACACGCCTACGTCAAAACACATTTAAACCTCACGTATTACCACTCTCGCGTCGGACGCAGTGACAATGTTGGGAACAGCGGAACAAACTTTCATCACACCCACTGTGCTATGCCTATCTCGCAAAAAGTCGCCCTTATCAAAACTGGAACGGCCGGACCACAGACTACATCTTTCTTTCCCTGCTCAAGGCTCAACACGGAAATTCGCAACCGCACCGCAATCTGCCCCGGACTAAGGCCTTCTACAAGCACTTAAGGCTGTCTCGCTTGTATATTATCTTTACCCCACATTGTTGCTATTAATATTATTGCCTAATCTGCTGGTCCTGTAAATTGTCTCTAATTCTGCGACACTGATAGCGCCCGCTAGCTGCATGTTTGCATACAAAGCTTGAGCAATAACCCGCTTATATTTTAGTTTTAAACACATTCATAGTTGCTACCAACATGCAGCAGACTACCGCAGCTTAGGATAAATGAATTGACTCCATGTTGGATGGGATGCAAAGGAGAACTTTATATACACAATAACGGCTTCTCTTATTCCAGCTACCCACTTTCAGCATCGACGCGCTCACCTGTGTTTGACAAGCCCTCGCCAACTTGATGCACAATTTGCGCTTCCATTTATCAGGCTCTACATTATCTGGTACGCA